TTGTTCACAATGCTGCACCACCACTGGGACAAAATCATTATCAACACGTTTTACAATTGCAAATCCAGCATGATTACCTAAATGATCTCTGAAACATGAACCAACCACAAAATAGTCAACATGTGGATCTAAAATTGGTGTTGACTCTAGATCTGGTCTCAGTCTAGTAAAGGCTAGGGAGTCAGCTATACACTCATGTGGTGTGCCTTCATCTTGCAATGGTATGAAATTCGCTGGATTAACTGTTGTGCATCTTTTAATTGTAATGTCTGGAAAGGTTAATAATGTTGAGTATGCTATACATCTAGAAGGGGTCAAGACAAACTTCCCTTGTTCCAACAGTTCTACTACTTTGCCTGAGGCATTTCTAGAATATTTATTTACTGCATTATTGCAGGCTGATTGCATCCCCAACATACTCCTGGTGGGCCACCAAATTTTTGCTGATTGTTGTTGAATCTTCCTCTGCCTCGCCCTTGTTGTTGTCTGTTCCAGCCTCTGTTGTTTGGCTGCTCTGACTTGAGATAGATGACGACTGGTGCTGGTCCTTGTGGTGCAGTGGCTGTTCCAGCAGGTGGTGCCTGTGCTGTTGCAATCTGATTTGTTGATGCAGGCACATTTATTGTTGCAGGTGGATTAACAAACACTTCAGTATTGACAGGTGCCATCACTACTGAGTGATCTTCCTTCTGGACTGCTTGGACTTTTTTCTTCTTGTTGAGCAGTTCCTCAAGCTGCAGGTGAGTCAGTTTTCTTTGCAGCTCTTTTTCTTGGGTTTTCATCTTTAGCTCTTGTCTTCTGTACTGTTCCACAGCATGGACCACATGGTCTCTGAACTCTTTGTGTGATTTGGAATTTAGACCTACCACATCCTCCAGCTTCACTTTCACTGTTGTAGGCATGGCTTCCACAATGGCGGTCCTGAAGAGTGCTGTCAGTATTTTGTCTTTCTCTGGATCTCTTTCCAGTTCTTCTTTCCAACGTCTTATTTGTCTCTGAATGTAGGTGGTGGGATTCTCAGTCTCCCCGATTGGCTCTCCTTTCAGGAAACCTGGATCAGTTTGCATTGGGTACTCAGCTCTCAGAGTTATCCAAATGTCACATCGATGCTTGTCAAAAGAAGCTCCATCTGCTTGAGGTCTGTCCACAGCTCGAAGGAGGCCAGACTGCTTGAGTACATCATTCATTTTGGAGGCCCCCAGGCACTTGGCAAGCAGAGCTTTGATGTCACCCAGGGCCAAAAGCTTTCCAGTTGTTTCTTCTTCGAATGTTCTGATCCATTTTCCAGCACCTTCATGAATGTCTGGAAGACGGGAAACCAAAGTGTCCAGATCTTGACTCGCCCAAGGTGTGTATTGAGCATAACCTTGCTTGATGAGGATTGGGCACTCATATCTTGGGGCCTGTTCTCTTCTTGTTGCACTTCTTGTTCTCCTCGTGGATCTGTTTTCCTCTCCTCCTCGTCTTTGTGCTTGAAGAACTTGAAACTGTTCTTCTGGATCTTCTATGTCATGCATGACCAGTGTCCCAGCTACTTGCTTGTATTGTTTCTGCTGGACATAATCATGTGGGCTTGGGTGTGGTTGTTTTGGTTCATGTTTGCTCATCATTTCATCCAGCTCCTGCTGCAATTCGTCTACAGCCTGTGTGAAATCTTCTCGTCATGTGGACAGCTTGTTTGAGACTGTCTCTTGTTCTGTTGCATCTATCCTCCATATCTTCCAGAGCTTCTTGAATTGAGTCAGCATCTGCCATTGCTCCTTCAGGTTGCTCGTCAAGGAGTCCCTTGAACCGCCCATCCAGTGAGTCTCCACTAACTGATGTCTGTTGTTTGTGTTGGTTTTCCATTTCTTCAAGTATTGCTGAATATCTATGGTATGCGAGTGACTCATCAGCTCTCCCCTCCTCTCTGTAGCCCCTGGCTCCTCCTCTTTCAAGCCTTTCACTCCTTGGCTCCACCCTGTGGGCTGTTCTCTCTCTCACTCGGTATCTTGCTTGAGGCTTTGGTGTTGATGTTCTTAGTCCCTCCTCTTGTAGCTCCAGCCCCTCCCTTGTGGCTGTGTGTTCGTCTCTCTCTCTTGTAGTATTTGCTAGTCTCCTTATTTCACTCCTGCAAATCTGCTCATCTATGTCAACAGCTGTATTCACATCTTGAACATAGCCCTCAAATTCTACTGCCCCCTTTAAATCTATTTTTCCCTGTACTATAGGCATCTGATTAACAGCCTGATCGCAGGAAGGAGCATATGGAGGTGGCCTTTCTCCTTTTATTTCATTATCTTTATTCTCTCTTTCTTGTTTCTCTAATTTTAATAATTGAATTCCATGTTGTTTGAACAGAGTCAATACCCCTAATTCTTGCTCTCTTTTGTCATTTCTCTTTTTGGATTTATCATTGGTCTTATAATTTTTTATCAATACCTCCATTTCTCTACACATTGTCACATTAAATGTTCCCTCTTCCGGCCACTTAGAAGCCAATTTCTTTGTTCTCTCTGCCCACTTCCTTGAGAGCTCCCTTATTACTTCCTTACAGGCTGGATTTTGAAAAGCCAAAAATTCTACTGGAGTTGACATCTTTAAAATTTGAGTTATCAATCTGTTCAACACAATTAACTATTATTATGTATTTCCCCTTCAGTAATTTACCTCTCTAATCCCAGCGTTTCTAATTACTAGCTAATTTTCACCAGGCTCATCAGACGAGGATCACTAAAAGTATCCGACCCCTGATTTTCACCTGGATTTTTGCTGGGCGGAGGACTTTTCACCTTTTATAAAAGCTGCTTAGATTGTCTCAAATATTTCAAAATAATCACAATGTGTTTTCTAGTTAACAATTTAAAGGGTAACACAAGGCCTTCTATTTCTTCCTTCTGGATATTGCTGTTTGTCCAAATGATGTTTTCTCCCAAGCTGAATGCCTCAAAACTCCATAGTCTCCTCAAATGAAAGTGACGACCTGTCGCTGTAATTCCCCCTGCCCAAAATGAGTAGGTGAGAGATGATGTTAATTTTATACAACACTCTTCTATTTTATATACACCAATGTTTAAATCATCCTTTGTACAATATTTTAGATTAAGTGGTTCCATGTAATCAATCAATAATCTTTTCTCTTGTATTGTTAAAATTTTTCTGCCTCGCTTGCCTCTCCTTTTCCCCTTTCTATTTACATTTACCTCATCTGCCATTTTTATTTTATTTTAACTAAGTCATTTAAGCAGTGTTCTCAGTATGCTGAACTGTTAGTTCTGGGCCCTTTTTTATTTTCTCTGATTACCATCCATAACGGCATATATTTGTGGCAGACCTCTCAGCTCAATTGTCACCAACAAACGTCTCACTGTTCTACTAGGTATAGTCACTGGCATAATGTTTCCTATTTCATCTGATTTGACTATCACTCTTCCACAATGGCGGTCCTGAAGAGTGCTATCAGTACTTTGTCTTTCTCTGGATCTCTTTCCAGTTCTTCTTTCCAACGTCTTAGTTGTCTCTGAATGTAGGTGGTGGGATTCTCAGTCTCCCCCATTGGCTCCCCTTTCAGGAAACCTGGATCAGTTTGCATTGGGTACTCAACTCTCAGAGTTATCCAAATGTCACGTCGATGTTTGTCAAAAGAAGCTCCATCTGCTTGAGGTCTGTCCACAGCTCGAAGGAGGCCAGACTGCTTGAGTACATCATTCATTTTGGAGGCCCCCAGGCACTTGGCAAGCAGAGCTTTGATGTCACCCAGGGCCAGAAGCTTTCCAGTTGTTTCTTCTTCGAATGTTCTGATCCATTTTCCAGCACCTTCATGAATGTCTGGAAGACAGGAAACCAAAGTGTCCAAATCTTGACTTGCCCAGGGTATGTATTGGGCGTGGCCTTGCTTGATGAGGATTGGACACTCAAATCTTGGGGCTTCTGCCCTTCTTACTGTCCTTGTTAATCTGTGTTCCTCTCCTCCTCTTCGTCTTTGTGTTTGAAGAACTTGAAACTGGTCATCTGGATTTTCTATGTCTTGCATGACCAGTGTCCCAGCTACTTGCTTATATTGCTTCTGCTGGACATAATCATGTGGGCTTGGGTGTAGTTGCTTTGGTTCACGTTTGCTCATCAGTTCATCCAGCTCCTGCTGCAATGAGTCCACAGCCTGTGTGAAATCTTCTCTTGTCATGTGAACAGCTTGTTTGAGACTGTCTCTTGTTTTGTAGCACACTAACTGATGTCTGGTGTTTGTGGCAGTCTTCCATTTCTTTGAGTATTGCTGAAAGACTATGATATGCAAGTGGCTCACCTGTTCTCTCCTCCTTTCTGTAGTTCTTGGCTCCTCCTCTTTCAATCCTTTCAGTCCTTGGCTCCACCCTGTGAGCTGTTCTCTCTCTTTCTCTGTATTTTGCTTGAGGCTTTGGTGTTGATGTTTTTAGTCCCTCCTCTTGTAGCTCCAGCCCCTCCCTTGTGGCTGTGTGTTCGTCTCTCTCTCTTGTGGTATTTGCTAGTCTCCTTATTTCACTCCTGCAAATCTGCTCATCTAAGTCAACAGCTGTATTCACATCTTGAACATAGCCCTCAAATTCTACTGCCCCCTTTAAATCTATTTTTCCCTGTACTATAGGCATCTGATTAACAGCCTGATCGAAGGAAGGAACATATGGAGGTGGCCTTTCTCCTTTTATTTCATTACTTTTATTCTCTCTTTCTTGTTTCTCTAATTTTAATAATTGAATTCCATGTTGTTTGAACAGAGTCAATACCCCTAATTCTTGCTCTCTTTTGTCATTTCTCTTTTTGGATTTATCATTGGTCTTATAATTTTTTATCAATACCTCCATTTCTCTACACATTGTCACATTAAATGTTCCCTAATTCTTGCTCTCTTTTTTCATTTCTCTTCTTGGATTTGTCATTGGTCTTATAATTTTTTAACAGGACCTCCATTTCTCTACACATTGTCACTTCAAATGTTCCCTCCGCCGGCCACTTAGTAGCCAATTTCTTT